TTTTTTTTTTTTTTTTTTTTTTTTTTTTTTTTTTTTTTAATCTAAAGCGCAATTGTACATTTAAGCATATAGACTGGCCAAATTATTTGAGGTGGTGTTTTAACTAATATGTTTCCTTTTTATCTAAAAGAAAGTATCTTTTTTTTTCTTTTTTTTTAAATTACGTTGGTTTCATTCTCTCTTTAGTAAATACTTTTTCTTTTCTCGTAAGTTAGTTTTTAGGATGAATTACGAAATATGTTTGGTGTATGTATATGCAGATCTCAAGAAAAAGAAAGGAGTGTATGCGTGTGAATGTATATATGTATTGTGTGTGGGAGAGTGAGAGAGAAAGGGAGAAAAGATAGCAAAATGTGCAATTTCGAACTTTCAATTACTTTCTCCATCTTCGTAGTCTCGTAAGGAAACAAATTTTTAATCGTATCTATAGCATCTGACAGCAGTATATCTCATGATGAACTAGTTTGGTCGAAATACTGATGTAAAATCGACGGTAATTTCATTTTCAATTATGCTGAACTCATGTTTTCATCGAAAACGAACTCGATTTGTTCTCTTTCTCTTTCTTCGCATTCGCCATTATTGGCGATTCGCAGAAGGTGAAAGAGAAAATGGAGGTTCGCCGAAGGAAAAGAAATAAACATCCGTGTTCGTTTTTCTTCGGTAATATTCGGATATTCACGGCTATGTTTTCATTTCGGTTAGTTTCTTCGAATTCGTTTCCCTTTAGTAAAACATGAAAACATTGATCATCAAAGATTCCCTGAGTTCCTAATTTTCTTTCGTTTATCGAACTTTTCCATTCGTCTAAATTTATAGGGAAAAAAAATTTCTTTGTAACAGCACATGTGTGATACTGATGTGAACTGGAAGTAAATTGACGTTCGGCATACTTGTTGCTAAATAGTTTCTGCTCTCGACGGAAAAGGAATTGTCGGCTGGATCGTGATCGGTTAGATGAAAAAAGGAAAAAATGTCAAATATAGACAAGATCATGTCGATAAAGGGTCGTTTCTATCGCATAGATATCGCAATGTTTCGTCATAGCAATATATGCATAAGTTCCAAAGAATTTTTAACTATCGTCTTTCTCGAGGGTCTGCGGTCAAGGGAAATTTTCGTGTTCGTTTGGTGTTTTGGTTCGAAGGAAGATGTACAACGATCTCTCTCTTCAATTGCTAGGGAATTTCAGTATTTGTCCAGTGATTCTTCTTTTTAATCGCGTTTGTATAAATCATTAGACCTTCTAATATTAATTGTAAATACGTGCCAGGATTCGAATGAAAATTTCTCAAGTTCGTTAACGAATTTCTTCTCGAGGAGCTCATCGGGCATGAAGTAAACGAATTAAATACTGCCGTCCTGTGGGAGATCGATGAATCAATAGCTTTGAACGTACGAGAATGGTTGCAGAGACGCGCATCGTTTGCAAATTGTGTAAATAAAATAGACACGAAGGAAGCAATGAAATTGTAATTTTGAGCAGCACTTGTAAATGTACTGTAAAAAGAAAGTAGTGTACATATGACGAACAGGACACAGACGGACGATGTGTATTATGTATATATTATATACATAATGGGAATAATGTAATCTCGGTGGCAACGGCGTTTTGTTCCGTTCCGATCGAGAGCATATAACTAAAAGTTCAGATCTTTAAGTAAAGCAATATGCATAACTGCCTGTTCGAGTCTCGCAGAGGTGCAGCAAAAAAATAGTCAGTATGTGCAAAAGTGAAAAGAAAAAAAGAAAAAAGAAAAAAAAAAATAGCCGAAGGTTGTCAGGCTCGATTCAAGTGATCTTTGAGGCGAACAAAGCGTTATAGTGATATAGAGGGCGTTATATTGGGATAGGACGATGAGGCGGGAAATACGAAAGGCAAAATGGCGTCCGCGGTGAAACGACGCCAAAGGGAAAGGGGCACGAATTACAAAGTGAATAATCAACCAATCGATAATATTAATTTAAAAGATGATAAGAAATTAGCTGTGATGATGACCCTATAGGTACTACTAATTTTTAATTGGTAACTGATCAACATATATATATATATACACATATATATATTATATATTATATGTATATGATTAAACGATAAGGTGGGGTAATTTAAGGACCGTGCAAGTACGGTGTTATAAGGAACAAAGTAATTACCGTTTTCGAGAGAGAGGAAAACGCGAATGCTAACGCGAGAGAAATACGAAACACATTGCATGCGTTGTATGTCAGTCGAGGGAATAAGAAAACATTAGGGAAACGTTTCTCTTCGACTAAAAATGGGGCAGGGCTTTTGCACCCTGCGCACTTCGTCGTGTTACTATTAATTATCCGTAAAATTTAGTAATTAGTAATGTACGCGCGCGATCATGGAACACGAAAAAAAAAAAAAAAATGAAGGCTCGAAAGCGTAAATGCTCAGAGGAAAGGGAAAAAGGAAATGAGAAAAGGTAGTGGTGCAATGTTTCCGCGTGAAGAGCAAAGAAATTAATATTATTTAGGAACTCTTTCGAGTACGTCCATCTTGTGTGTCGTAATCCACTTTCGTGACTTTAAGATGAGAATATAGTTAGTAGTTCTAATTATAAGAGCCAACGAGAACTTGGGTCGTTTCGAAAAATGGGATCGAGGTCGGGCGGGAATTTTATCTTTGAACGCGCTTCCGGTCGAGAGGGCGCGAGGATAGCAGCTCGTATACGCTTCTTTCCGCTTTCGGTTTGCGCGATTATTTTCGGTGAAACGAATTTAAAGTGTGCTCTGTAAACGAAAAGAAGTCGTGAACCTTCTCTTCCCTTCGATTATTTTTTTTCTTTTTTTTTTTTTCCATGGAAAACGATAAAAAACAGGAAGTAGAAAAACATAACGAACGTGACGAGACGACCCATCCTCGACTGGCATTTATTGTGATATTGTAACGTACAAAAATCGTTCGTCGCGAGTTACACGAAAAATCGAAGAATAATCAATAAGGAAAAATCAAGATTCTCGTGAATGCTACATGGATGTATCACGGATCCATTTTGTAAAACGGAACGCAGAAGATACGGCTCTCTTGTCGAATATTTTATAATCTTATTCGCTGCGTTCATTTGTAACTATTAATTTTATTGGAGATATCAGGACACTTTTGTTTTCGTTTCTGAGGATAAAACAATATTTTTAATCGTTTTTAACATCAGGTCTAACACACGATTAGGAATTTGAATTTCAGTTGCGAAGATAAGAAATTTATCTTTAATTATCTTCTTTGCTGTAGAATTCGTTTATCATACGTGGCATTTTGCGAGTAAAAAATTTTTGTCGAGAATGTCGAGGAGCAAAAGTTTCTTGGGCAATAGGTAATACGTCGCGT